CATAAAAATGTCAAAAATTGGTATATGGCAGTTCAATTTTGAGTGTTAAAAGTACATGTATCTTTATTCAAGACAACATCCATTTCTTTAATTGTCATATGATATTTTCATTAAAGTCGGTTTCATCTTATGGGCCTATTACTGTAATATCCCTTATCACTGCATTATGACTTTGATGACATTGTGTATGATGACATTGTGTATGATGACATTGTGTATGATGCATGAGGGTCTGGAATGGGGGTACTGCATTTCTGTATTGTTTAATTTTGAGGGCCAGTTTTCTCTATTCTATATGTATTTTGCCCATTATTCTACATTCTTCATATTTTAGCACCCTAATATTCTCTATTCTTTAAGGGCCTTGGCGGCCAAGTGGTCTAAGTAGTCCAACTACTGTATCACAAGCCAGTCAACACTGAGGTTGTGAATTAGAATCCTGAAAGGGGGGCAGGTGCACTCGACTCCAATTGGCTAGGATTGTCAGTTTTCCTACCGAAAGGTTGTGGTACTCTCCAGGCACTCAGGCTTCCTCCACCAATAAAAACTGACCACCACAAAATAGCACAATAGTGTTGAAAGTGGCGTTAAACACCAATCAATCAATCAATCTATTCTTTATTTTTTAACCCATTTTTCTATAGTATTGGCCTGTTATTCTCTATTCTGTAAACCCAATCCAGACTCACACACATACACAGTTATTGATTACTTAAAATATGTGTCTATCCTTTTTCTAACATCTCTGGCAGTATTTCATGAACATATCCTCATATATATATACTGCAAATGATAAATTTTTACAAAAATAATATAAAGAATAGTAAAGCTTCATAATTTATATAATAATTCATGACATTAAAATCTAGGACTTAAAAAATTCTGAAATTGTCACAAATTGGTGTGAATATTCACATAAAATATCATATGACAAATGGCCCTATACAAACACCTTAAGGTAACCAGTTCATAAAACATATATACAAAGTTTAATATTCAAATTCAGGAAAATTATAATTTATGAACTTGTGAAATTCATTAATTTAAAATATAACATATATATATATGTATAAAGTTCTCTCTCAATTTAACTTAGTTCCCATCAAAAGAAATAGGAATAAATCATTTTCTGCAATTACTTCAATTATTGTATTTGCATTACTATGAAGGTTAATGTGACTTCTGGGAAATGTTTAGATATTGTTTCTAAATGTTCCTATAAAACACATCCATATCCCACTTCTTTAGTGCCTAAGCATTTGGAAATTACAAACAGGAGTATAAAATTAAATGAGAAACAGAATTATCTCCATATTGGAATTTGATTTCAGACTTCATAGTGTTTCTTAGTTATATCCAGTGGCGATTCAGAGTGGGGGCTTGGACGTATAAGAGCTCATCTCTTCAATTGGAAAATTTGTAATTTTTAGCATAAAATTGTCAAGAATATTTCACCTTGCTCCACTTGGCAATATTTATTCAGTTTTATTCAATTACACCCCCTTTCAAAAATCCTGGATCCGCCCCTGATATCAGTAATTGCTGATCTTAGTAATATTGCTTATGAAACAATAATACCAGGTCATTGTCACAACTCTCCTTTGGGTCCATTTTTGTTAACATTTGAATTACATACGTTTTAGATTGTATGATTGTAAATTCATATAAAAAATAAATGTGGAATGTGTCCATGGGACACAGATGATGCCCCCGCTTGCATATCATATAAAGATATAAAGGGACATAACTGAAGAAAGGTAAAAGTGACGCTACCCACATTTGTACTTGATCTGAGTTTTGTGTTAATAAGCATTGTGTATAAGTTTCATAACCTTTGGTTGAGGCAAACTAAAGTTAGAGAACGGAAACGAAAAATTCAGCAATTTTTATGTTTATAAAGGGGCATAACTCAAGAAAGGTAAAAGTGACGCCACCCAATTTCAAACTTGGTCTGTATAATGTGATAATAAGCATTGTGTATAAGTTTCATAACATTTGGTTGAGGCAAACTAAAGTTAGAGAACGGAAACGAAAAACTCAGCAATTTTTATGTTAATAAAGGGGCATAACTCAAGAACCGTTATCGTGATGGCACCGAATTTCAATGTTGATCTGTGTTTTGTGGTAATAAGCATTGTGTATAAGTTTCATAACATTTGGTTGAGGTAAACTAAAGTTAGAGAATGGAAACTAACTTTGGGACGTACAGACGTATGGACGGACGTACGTACAGACAAGGGTAAATCTTTTGCCCCCTCTGCTATGACAGGGGCATAAAAATACAATGTGTTGTATACTGATAGAAATTCAACAGTATAAAAGTACACAAAATTTATAAATTTTTCAACAGCAATATTTATCTACAATTGCACATGTTTCGATCAGAATTGCAATAATTCATCAATCATTATTATTCATTGTGCAAGTTTTGCATTTATACATGCCAGCATTGAATTCTGAATTTAAAGTATTATTTATATATAAATAAGCTGCGGGATGTGCTTAGGACAATTGCTGCCAATTTATCTAAATCAATTTTCCACTATATCTGCATTATAATGTTTACAATTAAACACTTATTCATCTTCATTTTAAATGCTTATTGAACGACAAAGATAAATTCTCACCGATTGTCATGCACCTAGACTGAATGGGTTTTCTGTTTGTCTTCAATTTCCATATAATAGTCTATTGTTTGCTGTTTCATGTGAAAGTGCTTTGAAATTGATTTCATGAAATCATAGTGCATAATTTAGTATCGGTCCTTTTGAAATGTCAATTGACAACACTAAAATTGCCCAAACATAAAGGAAAAATAGAAACTGTAAAATTAAAAGTAATTGGAAAACTGCAATGAAATAAACAAACATTTTACATAATTGTAGAATTTATTGAACCACAAAATTAGAGTTGCATCATATCGTGTAAAGTATAATTAGACTACAAGGTGACTCAATTTGGGCAGCTTAGGCCAAACAAATTTTATTCTTAGATCTTTAATTTTTCCTATGTATGGTAAAGAAAGTCTCACTTAACATTCAAATATTGGCAAGCAAAAATTGATGAAAATTAAGCATATCTGAAAATGATAAAGATACTTCAATAGTGCTCCAAATTGCATGTTGGTAAACTCAAATCTTATAAAAGGATTTAAATCTTGTGAGAAGACAAAATTTTAATTTGTTTCATTATGTTGTTTTTCACTGAAAAAGGATTTTTTTTTTTACTACTCTTTCCAATTAATTCAATTATAATACACATTGTGAAATAAGTCATAAGATAAACTTTATTTTCAAAACAACATGCCAAGAGATTCTTGAATTATGGATAAACATTACGAAACTGCGTGTTCATGTTCAAGTTTCAAAGCAGAAATTTTTTTTAAAGCAACTTTACAAGTAGCCCAATTAACCAGTTTAAAGATTACAATTGCATCTGCATGTTCAGCTGTCTAAGAAAAACATGCACATTCTTTAAAATTTAACGATGGCATGTGTATTAGCATCAAGCTAAGTTGACATACTTGTTTATCTTGTTTTATGTTACCAACCTTATAAAAAATACATCATCAAAATATTGTTTATCTGAAAACAAGGATGGCCTCATGCTGATCTGGTGACAACATCGTGCCAGTACACAGCATGATTAGGATGAAACACCCTTTTATAACTGGTTTTCACTAATTATCATGAGAAAATTTTTTATGTAGTACAGAGTAAAAATCCAGGCAGTTTTCTATTTTTTTAAAGACTAAATATTGACCTCTAGATGTTGGTTTTATTGTGTTGCTGGATTTCTGACTCATTCATTTTTCCCTTAATCTATTTTAATATATACTGTGTATTCATTATTATTTGTGGGGTGCCAATTATCATTGATTTTGTGGATATAGCTAAAGCACAAATTTCAATGTTCAACAAAGTACAAATTTTCTGTAGGCTTGAATGCAGTCATGAAATCAAATATCAACGAAAATGCAATCTTTCTCCAATCAACAAAAATTTGTACCCACGAAAATAAAGGAATCAACAGTATATTTATGCTATCAGAACAAAGAAATATACAAACTATAACCATGTTGCCACATTGATTAAGGACTTAGGTTCCTGTCAACAATTTAAATATTTATAAATTTTTACTGCACTCATTTGTTAATTCAAAATATAATTTGACACATTTCAAAATTGCAGTTTGAATTCATCATTTCAAAATAGTGAAATTCACACAACTTTTTCACATAATCTTTGAATTGTCTACAGAAAAAACTTCCATTCTAATTTGAGAACTTTATTTTACATTTCGTATGTTCAGTTCAATTGCAATTTCAAATCAACAGATTTATAATGAAGTGGAGAAAAAACTTCCATTAAAAAAGAAATAAAAGATGTATATGACATTTTCTGACCCCCAGCCAGATATAAAAACACTTATCTTTCATCTGCATATGGATTTTGTAACAGTAAAATAGATACTATCAGAAAACTGTCCTGCCAAACAACATAAAAACAAGTAATAAAAGTGAATCGTCTCAAGCAATTTAGTCCAAATCCATTTTAAGTGTAATAGATTGTAACTTCCTACGGGAATTACGCCATAAAAGGCCAGGAAATTGAAGCAAAATATGGACAATGAAAAAGTGACTATTTCAAACTTCAAAGAACAGTATGTGTCATAGATACTATTATCTTTCATGTTCAAAGATTCATTCTCCATTTAAAATCAATATGTTGTTTGCAGTGAATTTCAATGCAGCAAACTCAAAGTCCACTGATAATTCAGCATTAGCTCAGCTACAAGTAAAACCAGACTGGATTCATTAAAGAATCTCTATCTATTTCAAAGGTGCCTTAACCATACTAGGAGAAATACAGAATTGTCATGTGACCATAGTATATTGTTGGTCCATACTATTATAATATATTATATTCTTTGCTAAATTAAGGAAAAATCAGGTGACCATGGCACATAGCTGATTTTATATTTTTCAATAAACTACTTACTTTGAAAAATCTAGGAAAGCCAAATGACCATGATACATTGCTGGTTTCATACTATTCCATCGCGTCACATTCTGTACGAATCGTACCTACAACATACATTTCAACCTCACTATAATCATGTGATATAAAAACAAATAGAATCAAGAATCAAATCTTCTTAAATAAATTGCGAATATGTCCATGGGACACAGATGATGCCCCCGCTTGCATATCATATAAAGTTATAAAGGGACATAATTGAAGAACAGTAAAAATGAGCCTACCCAAATGTGTACTTGATCTGAGTTTTGTGGTAATAAGTATTGTGTATAAGTTTCATAACATTTGGTTGAGGCAAACTTACGTTAGAGAACAGAAATGAAAAATCCAGCAATTTTTCCATTTGTAAAGGGGCATAACTCTATAACAGTAAAAGTGATACCACCAAAATTCCATCTTGATCTATATTTTGTGGTAATAAGCAGTGTATAAGTTTCATAACATTTGGTTGAGGCTAACTTAAGCTAGAGAACGAAAATGAATTCCTTCGTGTCTAAATGAAAACAAGTCCATAAACATGTTGGATCTTGTTTTGATCTTGACAACAGAAAAACTCAAATCGCAGCTCCTATCAATGATATATCTTAAGAAGTTCAATAGTTGACTTTTTTATATGATTGTGCCTACAGATACCTTGAGAGATGTTTGAATGACAACATTTTTGTCAATGAAGTAATTATCAACAGGCTATGTAGAATACATTATTAAATAAATGGGAAATGTGTCCATGGGACACAGATGATGCCCCCGCTTACATATTATATAAAGTTATAAAGGGACATAACTGGAGAACAGTAAAAGTGACGCTACCCAAATTTGTACTTGATTTGAGTTTTGTGGTAATTAGTATTGTGTATAAGTTTCATAAAATTTGGTTGAGGCAAACTTAAGTTAGAGAATGGAAATGAAAAATTCAGCAATTTTTCCATTTGTAAAGGGCATAACTGTAAAACAGTATAAGTGACACCCCTAAAATTCAAACTTGATCTGTATTTTGTGGAAATAAGCATTGTGTATAAGTTTCATAACATTTGGTTGAGGCTAACTAAAGTAAGAGAACAGAAACCAACTTTGGGACGTACGTATGTACGTATGTACAGACGGACAAGGGTAAAACTTAATGCCCCCTCTGCTACAATGGGGGCATAAAAATAATGGAAAAATTCAAGTGATTGCTTTAATAGAGATAAGAGCACAAATTAATTTTTTTGGCAGAAAAAGGAATTGATGCCTCTACATTTTTTCATATAAAATGTAAAAGTAGAACTCAATTGTAAATTTTTGGACAAATTACAGAAAAAAATCAGAAATAACAAGTATCTTAGTCAGGGCTGTATTTCACTACATTTTTTTAAATCTGCCAATTCTATTCAATTAAAGTCAGATTCAAATGCACATGTTACGAGGGGGGATTACTATCATATATGTCTCAGGCAAAGTTGACCTTAGATGGATTTGGCTATTATGTTTAGGTTCTTTTTGGTCATATAGCTCTTCAACTGTTTCAGTCTTATACAGCCTTGGTTATCAAATATTCAGCTTTGGGCGTTCCTGGTGAAGGTAAATCCAGAAAAGCGTTTCGGACGCATGCAATTTCAGTTACCATTTAATTGTGACATCACAAGTGTTTTCCCAAACACACCCTAACCCTGTAACTGTTGAATTAATGTACTGGTTTATAAATAAAAAAGTGTCTATTATGTAAAGCAGCATTGTCATACTTCAAGTAGTTCATAAAGCTACATACACAATGATACAGATATCTGGCCAACATTGGTGTACTTGAACTTGTGGTTTATGTGACACTTTCCAAGATAATGGGTAGCAATTATGCCAAGTTCATTACTATACTTCAAAGGTTTTTGTAGGACAGACAGATGATATTTTGAACCCACTATAATAATCTAATACCTTAAATTTACTTTTTTATTTATTTTTTTGTATTTATTTATTTCAATTTCTTGCTGTAACCAACTGTTTATAAATATTCAATTTTGACCTTGTTCAAATATACAGCATGGCAAATACTACTGTATCAACATATATATCAAAAGTATTGTACACACAGAAATCTGAACATATGTAAACAAGCAATTACCAATAGACAACAATCAAAGCTATGAAGTTTTCCAAATATACTTTTTCAACCATGAACTATTAAATCAAAGGAAAATGAAGCAGGTGGCAATTGGTGAATTCTGTTAGAGTCAATTATGTTATCTTGAAATTTTTTGAAAGAAAATAGCTAAATTATTAACAATAACCTTGTAATAGTAGAGGTATAGCTAGGTCCCTATTCTGAGAAGAAAGAGAAAGAGAGAGAGGAGTGGATGCAAATCCCAAATTTATCATCAGGAAATTTACATATCTTAACTTAGGTTAAGGTCTTCCTTTCTGAAAATCTTATCTGCTACTGTATATCATATATTTACACCATGATGTTTTTAAAAGTAATCTGATAACCTGCATTTATCATGCTTTGTCCTAAATATGGCAGACTTCCTGCATAAACCCCCTTCTAAAAATAAATTTTTGACAGCTATCATTTGGCATTAACCATATTATATATATCCCATCAAGATAATGCCCTCAAGGGAATATATGTATTATGTGCATTGCAAAAGAATTTTTTACTTATACATTTTGTACATGCATTTATACAAAAGATCTTTTTACAAAAGATTTTTTACAACTGTTTTTTTAAGAACATATCATGTCTCATTTTCATACCATAGAATTTTATTAGTAGGAATTAATCATGTATAAAATTTTAATTATAGAAGAATTATAAATTTTACATTTTACTTTTAATGTCAAATCAAAGAACATGGTGGCCTAACAGATGCATGTCTAATCTTTTACATCAAGTTAATAGCTTTTTTATGTAATTTCTAGCGCATGTATAAAACTCATAAATAACAACAATAGCAATCATTCATAAAAACTTCATTTTTGATAAATTATGCTCACATATTAAATCAATAAATCTATAATAAACTTTCTAAAATACAATATAACTGAAGTTAGAGGTTACTTAAATATAAACAGTTCAATAGTGAATGATGATGTTTTACATTGTGTAGGAATCAACATGCTGGTTTTAAGACATATCATGGTAACCATCCATCATTCGGTAGCAGAAAATAGACTTGATATCTTCCATTTTGCTGATAATTTGCAATTAAAATAAGATTTATGAGGGATATGTCCAAATTTCATTCTTGAGAAAAGAATGTTTCAGACAGACCAAAAGTTGTTTGTTTAATGGACTTCAAGTCAAGGTCATTTTTAAATATAATAATATTATATATAAGAATAATAATGAATCCACAGTAATTGTTCACGAATTTTTGAGAAAATCATGCCACTGACATTAGGATTAACTTTAAGTCTTAAATTGTCTTAATACTTATAGTGGTTAATCAGGTGCACTTTGCCAGTTATTTTTTTAGGAACAGAAGACTTGAACATCGATGATAACGGTTATTCTACCCTTATGCAAAGTTCCAAAGAAATCCACTAAAAAATCTTGGAAAATTACAAGTAACAGAGCTTTTTGTTTGTATAGGTCAAGAAGATATTTGTCAACCATAATTTACAGACCTTCCTACAAAATTCTGAAAAAAATACAGAATGTCCGACGCCACAGTGCCAACGTGATTGGTGTATGACATCAAAGGGTCAAGTGTTACACATTCACAAATACCTTTCTGATACATATTTAGTCAAGAAAAATAAATTCTACATTTCTAATTATTATAACTACAGTATTGAGCATGACAAATTTTTGGTGAGATCAAATTAATATTATTACTGGGATTCATTTTTGTTTGTGGGATACCCATTTTCGTGGATTTCAAGGGCATATGTAAACCATGAATTCAAATATTCAACAAATTAAAGGCTAGTATACAGACAAAATCACAAGATTAAATATCTAGGAAAATACAATTTTTTCTCAATCCATGAAAAATTGATACCCACAAAAGTAAATGATTCAACAGTATGAAAAACATTTGAAATAGATTCATCTTCATCTGATTTGGTGCATTAAGAGTTTGAATAAACAGCTTTAATTCAATATTCTACAAAATTTCCTTTCTTATTCCGTTTTGTAATTTTTTAGATAAAATAAATTTCAAATCAAGTAAAAATTCCTGCAGTTATCTCATTCAAAATCTTCTGAAATTGATTACGAGATGGTAAATTGTTGCCACCAAGGGATTTAACAACAGATAATGTGAATTGCTCAAGTTTAATCAATTCTTTCTTAAATGTCAATGATGAAATATTCTCCTTTAAATGATTTAACAATTTTAAGTTTTTTTAAGGTATTTTAAAGTTGGAGGGTGTTCCAAAATTACAAAAGCATTCAATTGTACAAAAAGTCTTTGAAACTACACAAAGTGCACAAATAAAACCAAAGATTAAACATTGTTAAATAATCTTTTGTGAATTATTTATAGATTGATTGATTGATGTTTGCTTTACGCCACATCAGCACAAAAAGGTAAAAAAAGGAGACGAATAGATATAATATATCTTTATAATCTACAACATATTGTGAATGTGGATGTTAAATCCATGGCGAAAGTACAGAAGGGACCAAAATTCTGAGGGGTCTTTAGGTGACCTGTTGCAAAGAAGGCAAAACTATTCTGTCCCTTAAACAAGTTTTTTAACTTCCATCTTTGTCAAGCTGATTCCTGGGTTTATTTTGTTCTTTTCTAAAATATGAGGCCATGGATGAGGCCCTTCATTTCTGTATACTTAAATTTGTTTGGTCATTTTTCTCTATTCTTTATACTTTAGCACCCCATTTAGGTATTATTCTCTATTCTTTACTATTTTGGCCCAATTTTCTATAGTATTGGCCCATTATTCTCTATTCTTTACTATTTTGGCCCAATTTTCTTTAGTATTGGCCCATTATTCTCTTTTCTTTACTATTTTGGCCCAGTTTTCTATAGTATTGGCCCATTATTCTCTATTCTTTCCTATTTTGGCCCAAAATTCTGTAGTATTGGCCCATTATTCTCTATTCTGTAAACACATATCCAGACCCTCAAATGCATGAAATATCACTGTGAATTAGAGTACTGTAAATTCAGAAATTATTTTATTAATGCAAATAATGCGACTACTTGAGTATCGCAATAATAAGAACTCGCATTCTGATATAAAATACATATATCTGTATGTAGCTTTTCCTAAAATTGCAATAATCAAACTCTCATTTTTGTAAATTCTTTAAAATTAGCAATAATAAATGGATGCAATTATTTCTGAATTTACAGAACTGGACATGAATTTCTAGCCCTTAATAAGAGCATTCCAAACACAAAATATGATTAATTGCAGCAGTTGCCATGCAAGTAAACAAGTGAAGTTTGATGATGCTGGATCAAACAGTTTTCTATAAAAAAAAAACCAAATGAATGCTCTGTTAATCAATAAGGCTGGGCGTTAAACAAGCAACAACCAATCATTGATCAATAAGGAATCAACTTAGATCATTGGTGAAACTTGGGTAATGTTATTTGAAAAGTTTCATGACATTGTTCAAAAGCGAGGCGAAAGATACCAAAGGGACATACATTCAAACTCATAAGTCAAAAATAAACTGACAACACCATGGCTAAAAAAGAAAAAGACCAACAGACAAACAACAGTACACAAAACACAACATAGAAAACTAAAGACTGAGCAACATGAACCACACCAAAACTGGGGGGTGATCTCAGGTGCTCAGGAAGGGGTTCTCCTGAATGTGAAATTGCTTAATACCATTTGTTTTCTCAGGTCACAACTTATGGATTTTTTTTCATTTTACCTATAAAGAAATGCCAGGAAAAAGGATAGGGTTGTCTTGCAGTTGGAATCAGTTCTTATATTCAAATGTTCTATGTATTTTGGTATTACCTAAGATCGATTTGAGGTGCAACTCAATGATTTGTGACTATGTACAAAAGCATTACAGATTCAGACATATAATCCTAGTAAGGGCAGGCTAACAAGCAGGGTAATCTAACACTATACCTGTGTCACAAACACAAACTTTTAAAAATTCAATTGAACATTCAACATTCGAATTCGTCACTCTTAAAAAGGTCAAAAGGAAGGCTTTTCCTACCCAAGGTCGGTGGTTCTCTCTCTCTGGACACTCCAACTTCTTCCACCAATAAAAACTGAAATAGCATGATAGTGCTGTAAGTGGCTTTAAACACCAATCAATCAATCAAAAGGAAGGCCACAAAGATAGACTCAAAACACCTACAACCCAGTTTAGCTTTGCTAATGGGAACAAAATTAGGGAATTTAGGCAAAGCAATATTCCTTAACTTTTTTCATAACTGAAGTCAAAGGTAATAACAATTTTCTGATTGTACACTTTACCTACCTGGTCAGATAAAGGCAAAACATGAATATTCTTTGTAGTATTAACATGAAGAACATGGAATTTATTTCTAAAACACAAATCGTAGGCAATGCCGGCAAAGGATGTGCTGCCTGTTTTTGGTACTCTATTGTAGATTATCACCAAATCTTCATCTGTTTTACCACTCAGTTCAACCTGAAAAATAATGATTGATGGAATGATTACGACTTTAGTCAAGTTATAAGAAAAGACCTGAAAAAATAAACAAGAATCTTACAATTATGTAATTTATTTTCGGAAGAAACAATTCCAGTTTTATAATTCACAAGATGTACTATAGAACAGACAATTAATCAACTGATGTTCTCTTTTTATGTAAATGTCTCTTATTTGGTTGTGTGTACAGACAAAAACCTGTCATTTTATAGACATTCCGATTAATGCTGTCTATGAGAAAGCTGATATCTGGGAATTAAACGAGATGAATCATATTTAGTAATTTGATATTGACCAGTTATTGGCACTTTCTTTTGAAATATTAACCATATATAAGAAATTTATCATATTTCCATACTTGAACAATATGTTATTAAATACCTATATGTTATAAATGACACATTGTACATGCCTTTATCAACCCTTAAATACACTTTCTCGTTTATCCTGAAACTATACATACATCTCTGTTTGCTTGGGTCTATACTTTCTTTATTTAATTATCAATTATCATTTTAAAATGTCATCCTAAACAAGCATGACATATTTGCCACTGGACATTAAGCAACCAACAATCAATCATTTTAAAATGTTGAGAACTGGGTGTCTTTGTTGTTATACATCAAAATGAGGTATGGTAAGTTTGATTTCAGTTGCTGTCAACTTTTTTAACCATTCAAAGTGTATTGGTGTACACTTTTAAAAATCTTGTTTCTGTTTTATACATTAAACAAAGTGACTTAAGGAAACATCAGTAATATGAAGATCAAGTTTGTCCATTTGAAATATTACAGTACAAAAGGAAAGAGAGTGATGAACTGCTGAATATCCAACTTTTTTCTTTAAATTAAGCAAAACAAAAGAAGAAATTTATTCCACACCTTTATTACAAATGAATGGGCCGATGCCAAGTGTCAAAATGCATGTAGATCACATACCGTTTGACAAAGTGATAAAAAAAAGTCTGGAAAATTCTAAGCATACATTTTTCATATGAACAATTATTTCACCTTTGAATAGTTACATTGTCTAAACATGCAGGAAATAATTGCCACTGGATGTTAAGCAACCAACAATCAATCATTTTGAATAGATACATATTTTTTTCTGAAACAATGTTAATTTCAATTAGTAAATTAAAGAAACATTTAAGTGAATATTAACAATAGGTATTGGCTGCAGGGAATAGAGTCACTATACAAACAACAGGTACACAAAATGAAAAGTGGATGAACTTCCAAGGTTCAATTTTTATTTTCTCCATAAATTCAAACTGCCAAACCCGACAAAAGAATCAAATCTTTTAATGACAGGTCCTACAGGGTTCGACATTTTATAATGTGAGGTGTACAAAAGGTAAACTGCCGAGCGATGCACACTAATGTGTCACAACATTTAATCAAAAGTAACAAAATACTCGGTAACAATTGTTACAATTCAAAATAGAATGGATTGAGTTTCCTGGATCAAATTGGGATGAAATGGGATATAATATCAGCTTGAAAAATTACATTCTTGGCTGAGAAATCAAGTTAAAAACCTATCAATTCAAAATGATTTACAATCAATTGAACTTAACCAAAGTATGCACTGAAAACAAATAATAGTATATCACAGATACTACAGTCGAGATCTCCACCCCACTTATAAAAGTAAACAAGTCAATAGTATCTTTTATAAACATTTTGATATAGTAGGCGATACTGGTACTCATAACATTAAAATATATATCAAATATGATTCATGTACAATCAATGAAATGGCAGAAATGATGTATAATTCGAATGATAGAATTTGATTCACCCAAATCTTAATCAATCTGTATAGCCTACATTACTCCTTTCCAGAATCATGAAATTTAATCTAAAATCTTAATTTGAAGCAGGTTATTTCCCCTGTTTGGCAGTAGAATTGTTACACAACAATGAAGACCAATGCTAAGTCAATGATAAGTGTTTTTTTTATTATCCCTGTTAACTTAAAAGATAATATTTGGTTTATTTATTATTCATGGTCTTTTTTGCTTCCAACATTCAGATCTCCATTGAATTTGTAGTCAAATCCTTTTTTGTATATAAAGTTATACATGGTTTTCTATTAACTTCTCACCATTGCTCTACACTGCAGAAAATCAGTATTTCTAACAGTATAACTTCCCAAAAATTGAAATAAATTGTATTAAATTGGAATATTAAAATCAGATTCAGGCTTTCAGAAGAGTTTCCAAAAAATTCTGTTTTTTCTAATGCAATGCCAAACATAACAAACTAAGCTAGCGCCTATCTAAGATTCTTGTGCCATTCATTAAAGACTAAATGCTCTGAAATACAGGCAAGTAATTCTGTTAAAATAAAATCACTCTTATGCTAGTGATTTTTCACAGTGATTGTTAGTGATTCACATATAATAATTCTGTTTACGTTTAATAATTTTATATGGAAGGATAAAGGTAATTAAAGTGTTATCCATTATCCCCCTCCCCTTTGTCAACCCCCCAATAATAATAATCTTGCCAACAAGATTGACTTTTGACTGAATTACAAATTTGTTTTGTATTTTGCTTTTCATGACAGATTGATGTCACTTATAGAATTTCTCATGTAAAGTCTGAGTTGACATGAACTTTTTTTTAAATATTAATACATAGTTCATACACAATCTTTTTTCAGGCTAGTAGAAAACGCAAATAATTCTAAATCTTTACACCTATGATGCCATAGCTGCTTTTAGAAAGATGCATTGAAAATTATTAGGTAAGAAATTCAACATGCATAAATGCAAATGCATAAAAAAAGCATGCTTTTTAAAAAAATCCTTTCATTTTGCACTCAGGTACTGTAAATTCAGAAATTACTGCGATGTTTTTATTATTGCGAAAAATGCGACAGGGTTATAATCGCAATAATTTAAACTCGCATTTTGAAATGTTTTATATGAATTAAACAGGATTTTTCTAAATATCGCAAAAATTAAAATCGCATTTTAGTCCAAAATGACAAAATCGCAATAATAAATCCACGCAATAATTTCTGAATATACAGTATTTCAAATCAACTAGGCATTCATGCTTTTTAAACTTGAATAAGAAATTTATTATAAATTACCCTAAACTTCTAACTTATAATTAAAATCTTTCAAAATAAGACTAAAGTGAGGTGCCCTTGCATTGGGATTACACTAAAAGATACTGCTCATAGTCCTACATAATCTCTTTTTTTCAGAGAAGCAAGGGCCATAACTCTATATAGGAAATGTAAAATCAACAAAAAATAAACCAAATCTATGTATATATTATTTCATATAATACTAATTGTTTGTAAATTGAGTACTTTTAATGTATTTTTGTTATTAATACTATTTTCATTGTCTATTATGATATCTGTCACGTTATATACTGTACAATGTCTCATGTTCGTTGCTTATACTATCATAATTGTTAATTGTAAATGCCCCCTGTGGGACCATGATTGGAATAATAAATATTTATTTATATTTATAACTGTAAATGTCTGTAAACAAATTTCAAAACATTTGGTCCAGTGGAATTTTGCCATCTACTATAAAACAGAAAAAAAATAAAAATTTCTAGTTCCTTCCCTACCTTGACCCCATTAACATTCTTCCCTTACCATTCATTCCTAGCAAGCATATATATCATACTAATGTGAGTTCTTACGTCATTTCTTAAATGCAGAAATTTTTTAATTCAAACATGCAAGAGACTGTGTGTTGATCACATCACACATCACCACAGCAGACACATATATCATTCATACATGTACTTACTTTATATTCAAATTGGCCAAGAATCTGTTATGAAAATATCACCAATTATTCATCTGCTTACCCAATAATTATATAATTGTTGAGTCATAAATACATTCTTTTCAAATCCAAAGTTTTGACTTGAATAATAATCAGGAAACTTTTACATGTTACCTTACAATATATGATATGATAAGACCACTACCCATTCAAATCATTAAACAAACAAAACTCGTTCTATTTTTTCACTAAATTTCCCCAAAAACTATCTCGTCTACTTTCATGGCAAGAATTTGGAAATTAATGACCTCCCCTCCCCCTCCCAAAAAAAATGAATATCTATGCAAGATACAGGTACATGCGACAGAAGATCAGTGGCGGATCCAGGGGGGTTCCGGGGGTTGGAACCCCCCTTTTTTTTTATGATCAATGCATTTGAATGGGGACATATAGTTGGAACCCCCCTTTATCCTGGGTTAGGAACCCCCCCCCCCCCCCTTATATAAATGGCTGGATCTGCCCCTGAAGATTATCACTAGTCTGGACCCATTACAATAGTGTTAAATTTTTAACAGTTCCTGCCACAAAAATATAACAGAAAATAGCAAAGGATCAAAAAGGCAATTAACCTTTATTTGTTAGAAAAGAAGTGCATTGTTTGGCATATTTTTGATAGAAGACAGGCATCGATGAGTTACTTCTATCAATCACTTTTGTTGTATACTATATTTATTTTACTGATAAACATCTCTAGCAAAATCTACCTACATTCATCCATCTATTTTGAAATTCAAATTGGCCACATTGCCTTTTGGCAGATGTAGTAACACGACCCTATCAACAATAATTAAATATGCAGATCTGCATTTCCTCTAATCAGGGCATCATATACCAACAGTTATTTCAATCAAAAATAACACAGCAGGAAAAAACTGATGTTTTGGAAAGCTCTTTTTTTTTTCACCTATTAGAAAATTCTTTCGTGTCATAATCTGAGAAATCAAATATATTATTTACTTGTTTACTATTTACTAGATTATAAGAGAGCACTGTTTTTTTTAGGTTGATGACAAAATGATAACAACATATCTGTATTTACTATTTCCACCTTCTTAATTCCAGCAAATTCAGAGTTGTAGCTCTGTTACACATTTTTAAAGCAATTCTTTATCATTTCAAATTTTCATTTGTATACAAGAAATGTCTAAAATTTGTATGTTCAACAAATTTAATTCATAAATTTTAATCTAAAAAAGAACTCAATGAAATTTAATTTTGCACTACATTTTCCAATCTAGATTACATAGTCATTCCAATTGGAGTTAACAGAAGATAACCATAATAAGGGACCCCCGTCTTAGACAGTTGTATAAAAACCATAAGTTTTTAAAACCTTAATTTTGTCAATTTTACTAATTCAACTTCCAATGTACATGTAAATAACTTTAACAAACAATTCCTTAAAGTAATGGCATATCCAGTAAAGAATTGAGGGAGGTGTAATATGCCAAAAATGTAAACTATCATTAAAACCATATTATTCCTGGATTTTCAATAGAATGTTAATTTAAATGTTTCTAATCATTTCTATAAATTTAATGCCAGGAATTCAATTTCTACGTTCATCTCATTCCACTAACATTGGTATACCTTAAACATAAATAACAGTACATTTATACATTTTTGCCAAAGATTGTCATTTAATGCAGTTAATTGATCAACATCAGGTCATATCTAAACTGTGAATTGGTCATTTAATTTAATCTGGATTCATTCATGGGATACCAATTTTAGTGGATTTCGTGGGCATCAGTTATAATAACTACAAATTAAAATGTCCATCAAAGTCAAATTTTCTATAGGCTTTTATGCAGACTTGGCAAAACCACAAAATCAAATATCCCTGAAAATGCAAGTTTTTATCAATCTAAGAAAATTGGTAACCATTGAAATAAATGAATCCACCGTAATCAATTATATTTCTGTAACTGTCACAAACTATTAAAGAAACTATTCACTTAAGCTGAGCTGCATTTAGAGTGTTTTAACCACTTTTTAAGACAAGCATACCTGATCACTAGCTTGTGATAAATGTCGAGGATGACCAACTGCTACATCAGTCCCTTGTATGTCTGCTACAGCTCTCTCTGAAAGGAAAAAAATAACAGTTTAAACATCATAGAATTCAAGTTGCGAAATTTTGATGGAATAAAACTGTTGGAACTTAAATTGTTCACTTATAATTGTCTTATTTGTAGAGTTACTGAGGAACAGACCTCATCCTGAAAACTTAACCAAACTACTGGAGCATAAAATTGAGGTCAAGTCATCAGACACAAATATACTCCTCACAATCAAGTCATATATACTGATTATTGTTGACCTATGGGCTATCATATATAGTTACTGAGAAAGACCTCATCCTGAAAACTTAACCAGACTACTGAAGCATGAAATTGAGGTCACAGTATCAAACAAACATAAACTCCTCACAATCAAGCCATATGCCTACTGAAGCATGAAATTGAGGTCACAGTATCAAACAAACATAAACTCCTCACAATCAAGCCATATGCCAATTATTGTTGACCTATGGGCTATCATGTATAGTTACTGAGGAAAAGACATCATCCTGAAAACTTAACCAGACTACTGAAGCATGAAATTGAGGTCACAGTATCAAACAAACATAAACTCCTCACAATCAAGCCATATGCAAATTATTGTTGACCTATGGGCTATCATGTATAGTTACTGAGGAAAAGACCTCATCCTGAAAACTTAACCAGACTACTGAAGCATGAAATTGAGGTCACAGTATCAAACAAACATAAACTCCTCACAATCAAGCCATATGCCAATTATTGTTGACCTATGGGCTATCATGTATAGTTACTGAGGAAAAGACCTCATCCTGAAAACTTAACCAGACTACTGAAGCATGAAAATGAGGTCACAGTATCAAACAAACATAAACTCCTCACAATCAAGCCATATGCCAATTATTGTTGACCTATGGGCTATCATGTATAGTTACTGAGGAAAAGACCTCATCCTGAAAACTTAACCAGACTACTGAAGCATGAAATTGAGGTCACAGTATCAGACAAACATATACTCCTCACAATCAAGCCATATGCCAATTGTTGTTGACCTATGGGCTATCATGTATAGTTACTGAGGAAAAGACCTCATCCTGAAAATGTTTGCATCAAAGGACATCTATATCCAAAATAAATTAATTTGTATCTAAAAAAATTCCTTTAAGTTTATTTAGTACAAATTCTGAACATATAACCAAATTATAAAATCGATATATATGATTTGGTTATATTTTCAGAAATTCAACACAATGTTGTTACAACTTCAAAGTTTACCTATGAATCTATCTATTTTAGTCCCAAAAACATACCACATCTCCTTATTTTTATATTGATGGCCATCAGAGCAATTTGTATACGACGTATGAAGCTTCATCAATGTTCAATGTTTACAGTTAATTTTGGTCAAGATTGAAAATGTTCAAAAAATGGCCTGAGTACTAGAAGGAAATAAATTTAGGGGAAATGGGCCAAAACTTTTTCATAAAATTCAGTTATATATAAAAATAAGAAGATGTGGTATGACATAATTGCCAATGAGACAACTCGCCACCAGAGACCAAATGGCATAGAAGTTTAAAACAACTAAATGTTTAAAGTACATTTGATTTATTGTAAACCATAGTCTCTTATTCTTTCTTCACTTACAATGCATCAACAATAAATGCACTTGGAATTTTTTTAACAAACAAGTGACATATAAAGATTGAAGACTTTTAAAATAGCATATGAACTTTATTATTACATCAATATGTAAAGATGTATTGATACTAACCACAATACACAAGATCCAGCCTATTGTCTAGTGTACTAATATATCATAATCTAGTACGATATAAAAGTGTTTTATGGCTAGGATCTGTTTATCTACTGCATAACCATGCATAAATTACATGTAACTTGAATTATAAATATAATATTGGAACAGGTGGTGGAAATGACTGAGAGAAAATTTAGGAACGAAAGTTTTGTACTTAAAGAAGACTTTTCACTATATCATATCCCTGCAACTACCAAAGTGATGTTCTCCATCTACAACAGTTAAATTTTTTCTGTATGAAGAACTGAATATACTCTACGCAGGGACATGACCCTCTGGCTAGTTAAACTTCAACTTGAATATGGTCTATGGGTCTTTAATAGTATTCAATAATATTTTTTTGTTTTCAGGTCAAGTTTATCTGAAACCCTGAACACAGAAACCCCATGGCTATGAGTGTGATATATAAATATGTAAGTTCACCAATCCATTCCGCTCTTAACATGTGAACATCATCAAGAACCCTGATATTAAAAATATTTACAAAACTGTTTTTATGCTTTTTGAAAGATACACAATGACATGGACCATATGCACTACATCAGTCTGAGTATTACAACATTCGTGCCTGTCTAACATGTTATAGTGATCCTCTATTATATGTATCATGCTAATTTCTTTTCTTCTGAATTTTTTCACACATGTATCTACTGACTATTTTATACATTCCATAAACATTTGATATTCATTTCAATTCTTAATTGAAATTTTAAACCAAAATTCAAATGAGACCAGTAACTTGAACTATACAAAAAAATTATTCCTAATCTTAAATGCCTATCCCAACCACATTTTAATGTATTTTTTTGGAACAATTATAAACTTTTGATATTCATTTCAATTCTTAATTGAAATTTTAAACCAAATTGAAATGTAACCAGCAACTTGAAGTTGAAGTGTAGAAAAATATATATGATCTATGTCTAATCTTAGGGCTCATCCCAACTACATTAATATTTTTTTGGGGACCAATTATCAAATTAACATTTGATTTTGACCAGACTATAACACACATTTCTGGAATATAACTTTCATCAGTCATGCTACAGTAATCAGGATATATGTGATTATTCCCAGATTATTTCCTGTATAAAATCTATATAACACATTTTAAATCATTTGACATACAAAATGTACTGACTTTAAATGAGGAAATAAACTATGACCCACAGTTCAAAGGCATCAACACTGGCTGGTCTACGAAAGATTTTTACCCCACTCACCAGCTGTTTGTTGGTCCCAAGCTTAAACTTTTAAAAGCCCATCATATATATTTTATAATTTGAAACTTTAGTTCTAACAAATGATACATACATGTACATATAAATAAAAGGAGATGTTTTTATAAGGCAGAGACCCAACTACAATGTACATGACAAATTACAATAGACCCTTGCAAAATTCAGAAGCATAAGAAACACGAATAAAAGCAACAAATGTTGAACTATTCTCTAGATAGTGTTCTAAAGCAAGCAAAAATTTCATATTTTCTGATTATAAAATTGAGAATGGAAATGGGGAATGTGTCAGAGACAACAACCCGACCATAGAGCAGACAACAGCCGAAGGCCACCAATGGGTCTTCAATGCAGCTAGAAACTCCCGCACCCGGATGCGTCCTTCAGCAGGCCCCTAAACAAATATGTACAGATACTGTTTTTATCTGACAATTCTTTAAAGTTTCCAATCATTTCTGGTGTTTCTGCTTCTTATAAGCTACAAATGTTTTGCAGAAAATAGGTATACATGTATTTCAGACATTCAACATAAACATGATGAAGGCCCAGATAACCAAACTTAAACTGGTTTACAGTATTAAGAATTTGCTGTCTGGTTACAGTATTAAGAATTTGCTGTCTGGTTACAGTGTGTAGTAGGAAGGTACCAGGAGACCTTAAATATGAAACACAAATGTATATGTTCATCTGTAATCTTTTATTTAAGAATTGTCCCAAGATTAAATGTTATCTTTAGGCAGTGCTCAAGAAACCTTATTTCCTGCAAAAAAAAATCTGCTAGCAGACTGATTTCCTTTTATTCATGCAACAATACCCTTTATCAAAATACAGACAGTCTGGAAATCCAATTATAATTTTTTAAAATACAATTTGTTTTATAAACATACAAATACTAATGTTTTTATACATATGGCTTTATAATTTATAAAATATTAGAAACATGGTAAATCTATTGAATTTTTAACAATTGTTACCGGTACACATTTTGTAAATGTTTCCTTGTACTTCAGTTATCAAATTCAAGAATTTTATTTGTTTTATTTTATATTAATTTTTTTCACTGAAAACTGCAGATAAGCAATACATTCTCCATAAATAATTGTCACCACGCTTTAAATCAAGATGCTGCATTTAGTTACTAATAGTTGGAAAAGTTACAAAAATGTAGTGGCTAACTCTCAGGTATTTGCTGTATTTTCGAGGTAAAACCTGTACATGTATCAAATCTCAATAACTATATCTACATGTACATCTACATGTATGAACATTTACATGAAACCTTCCTACATGCCTGCAGCTTGCAACAATTAAAGACCACTCACATACCCCAAGGCCCCATATTGTCACTGAAGTTCAAAGACTTATAACTCCTACAAAAGTCATACGATAAAAATTTCTTGTGGATATGCACATCTACATATTATGTCCTTATTATCTGTAAAGATTCATGAAATTGTCTTGTGTGGTTTCAGAGGAGTCGCGATGACAAACTGTTGTAGAGTAACTAGTATATTAAGGCCAAAATTCTAAATTCAAAGGGGCACAACTCCTAGAAAAAAAATTGAATTGTTATTTCCTGTTGATATGCACATCTTCATATTATGACTTTATTATCTATAAAGTTTCATGAAATTCTGTAGTTAGGTTTCAGAGGAGTTGCAATGACAAACTTTTGCAGTAGTATATTAAGGCCAAAATTCTAAGTTCATAGGGCACAACTATTTGTGGTTTTGCCAAAGTCTCCATACAAGCCTTTAGAAAACTAACACTTTGTTGAACATTTAAATTTGTGGTCATTTCATTGAATAAACTCATCATATGAATACCAGGATTAAAATGTTGAATGCCAAATGACTTATTCATCTACAACAGACTCATCAGTGACGCTGGAATCATAATAATGCCAAATAAAGTACGAACTTAAGAGCATAGATGACCCAAAATTCCAAAAGGTTTTGCCAAATACAGCGCAGGTAATCTATTCCTCA